CCTTAAAATTCTTCCAGTTGTTTCCCATTTCCCAATTCCAACACCACTTCCACAATTCTAGCAGCACCCTGCTTCCCAGTACCAAATGCTGTGTTGGTTTTGAAGGGATGCCATAACACATGACCATAAATTGCATGGCTTAGGAACAAACATTCCTTCTCTCATAGTTATGGAGGCCAAAAGTTTGAAATTGAAGTGTTGGTAGAGCCACACTTCCTCTGAAGGCTGTAGGGGAGAATCTTTCCGTGCTTCTTTCAGTTTCTGTGGCTCCTGGCATTCTTTAACTTGTGGTAGCATGACTCAAACCTCTGCCTTCTCTGTGTCTCTGTCTCAAATTTCTCTTCCTTTTCCCTTATAAGGATATCAGTCACTGGATTTAGGGCCCATCCTAAATCCAAAATGATCTTAAGATCCTTAATTACAAGTACAAAGACCCTATTGACAAGTAAGCTCACTGTTATTTGCTAAGTTATCCATAACAAAGAACCAGAAACAAGTAGCTTAAATAACAGGAATTTCCTGTGATAGTTCTGCAAGCTAGAAGTCAGATCATGATGTCAGCAGGGTTGGTTTCTTTTGATGAGTAAGAGGAAGAATCTTTTAGCCCTCTCCCCTAACCCCTGGTGTTTGCTGCCAATCTGTGGTGTTCCTTGGCTTGTAGAATCATCATTATGACCTCAGTTTTCATCTTCATCTGGTGTTCACCCTGTATGCATGAATCTGTGCCCAAATTCCTCCTTTTTATAAGAACACCAGTCATATTGGATTTGGGCCCACCCTAAATACCTCATCTTAACTATTTATATCTATAATAACCTATTTCCAAATTAGGCTACATTCTGAGATGCTAGGAGTTGGAACTTCAACATATGAATTCTTGGAGACAGAAATCAACCCGTAACAGTCACATTCCTAGGTACCAGAAGTTAGGGCATGGACATGTGTTTTGGGAGGGACATAATTCTTCCCATCAGCAATTGTTTTGGTTCTTGTCTTTCAACATATTAAATATTTCACTCCCCTCTCTTTGTGCTTACATGGCTCCTGACAAGAACTCAGCTGTAATTCTTATACTTGTTCTATAAGCAAGATGTTTTTGTCTCTGGATTTTTTCAAGATTTTCTCTTTGTTTTAGTTTTTCTGCAGTTTGAATGTGTTATGCCAAGTGTATATTTTAAAATAGTTATTCTGTTTGATGTTCTTCAGCTTGAGTTTCCTAGATATGTGGTTTGGTACTTGTCTTTGATTTTGGAAAATTCTCATTCACTACTACTTTGAAGCCAGTTTCTTCTGAAGATTTTTATCTGAGAACATGGTCTGGCCAAAGGAAGCCTCCAACTCTTCATACTGTTTATGAGTAAATAGGTATGTTCTTGGTCCTTCTTCAATATAGTGGGACTACCTGGATACTGTGGTAAAATCCAGTTCATGCTGGAGTCATTCATATTGATTAATGTGTCTGGCAGGGGAATCTCTGAGCTCATTTTGCCGGGTTTCTGAAATCGGACATGGAAGACCTGTCATGAATCCCCTTGGAGAGCCCATTTTCTTTTTTCTTTTTTCTTTTTTTTTTCATTTTTTGGCCGGTGCTGGGTTTGAACCTGCCACCTCTGGCATATGGGGCCGATGCCCTACCCTTTTGAGCCACAGGCACCACCCCAAGAGCCCATTTTCTTTTTCTTTCTTTTTTTTGAGACAAAGTTTCCCTCTTTTGCTCAAGTCAGAGTCCCATGGCGTCAGCCTAACATACTGCAACCTCAAACTCTGGGTTCAAGTGATCCTCCTGCTTCAGCTTCCTAAGTCGCTGGGACTGCAGGGGCTTACCACAAGACGTAGCTTATTTTTTCTACTTTAAGTAGAGATGGACTCTCACTCTTGCTTGGGCTGGTCTTGAACTCCTGAACTCAAGGAATCTTCTTCTTCTTCTTCATTTTTTTTGTTTTGAGGCAGAGTCTCACTATGTCACCCTTGATAGAGTGCTGTAGCATCACAGCTTACAGCAACCTCAAACTCTTGGGCTTAAGCGATTCTTTTGCCTCAGCCTCCCAAGTAGCTGGGACTACAAGGCACCCACCACAATGCCCAGCCATTTTTTGTTGTTGTTGCAGTTGTCATTGTTTTTTAGCTGGCCCAGGCTGGGTTTGAAACCTCCAGCCTGAGTGTATGTGGCCGGCTCCCTACCCATGAGCTACAGGCACTGCCCCAAATGATCTTCTTGTCTTGGCCTCCCAAAGTGCTAAGATTAGAGGCGTGAGCCACCAACCCCTGCCAAGAGTGCCCATTTTCAATCCTGCTTGGCATGTTTCTCTGGAAATTTCTTTTTTTTTTTTTTTTTTTTGAGACAGAGCCTCAAGCTGTCGCCCTGGGCAGAGTGCTGTGGCATTACAGCTCACAGCAACCTCCAACTCCTGGGCTCAAGCGAGTCTCCTGCCTCAGCCTCCCAAGTAGCTGGGACCACAGGCGCCCGCCACAACGCCCGGCTATTTTTTGGTTGCAGCCGTCATTGTTGTTTGGCGGGTCCGGGCTGGGGATTTGAACCCGCCACCTTAGGTGTACGTGGCTGGCGCCTTAGCCGGTTGAGCTATAGGCGCCGAGCCTCTCTGGAAATTTCTTTAGTGTCCAGGCTAATCTTGTATCTCTTCTACCTCAGCACTGGAAATCAGCCATTTCCCCAAAGAGCCCTGGTTCCTTTTCGTAGGGAATGGTATTAGAAGAGAAGATATGAATGCTAGGTATGTTCATTTCTATCAGGCTAAGTTTGAGTCTGTGCTGTCCAATTGGTAGCCATTATCCACATGTGGTTAAATTAAAATTCACAAAAATAAAATAAATTAAAAATTCAGTTTCACACTTCATGTGCTCAATAGCTACATGTGTCTAGGGTGATATAATACAGGACAGAAAATTAATATAGAGAACATTTGACTCTTGCAGGAGGCAAATCTAAGAAACCACCCCTCACACACACAGTTATTCGTGAGTTCCCAATCTCTCTGGCTTTTTAAATATTTTCCTATGTTCCACTACATTGATTATTTAACACATTAAATACTTATTTATTAAACATAGAAGCCCCTGTAGATCTAGAAATAAAGATAGTCCCTGTTCTCTAAAAATCTACAATTTAATAAAAAAATGAGAAAAATAAAATGGATTACTATAGAATAATATAATAAATCCCAACATAATGAGGTTAAAACAGGATGGTGTAACAGTGTGTATCCCATTCTAGGGATGTCAAAGAAGGCTTCTTGGGAGAAATGAAATTTCTAAATGAAGTTTAGAAAGGCAAAAAACTATTGGCCTGGCAATTTGAAGGAGAAGTTGACAGTGCCAGCATTTGTTATTCTCCATTGTTTTTTCCATTGTTTTCCAATTATTTACTTAAAAGGCTTTCTCTCCTCCATATATACCTTTCAAATCTCTGCTTATTGTTCAGAGCTCATCTTCTTGATTTATTTCTTACTATCTCTAACCAGACAAACCTCCATATATGATTTCAGAGCCACAAAATATTTACTTTATTTTTGTTATGAATGTAACAGGAACGTGGGGTTTGAAATTAGACTTATTGCTTACTATTTATGTGATATTGGGGAAATTACTTCATCTCCTTAAATTTCAATTTCTACATATGATAGTGGGATTAATAATACTTATATATTTGATGATTAAATAAAATAATGTACTGAAAATACTTGGCTTAGGTAACTGGAACATGGTGAACTATACAGTCTACTAGTAATAGCAGCCCAACAACTGGATTCTCTCCTTTGTTTGCTTAGGGATTTAAAATTGCTAACACCTTCTCAGGTCAATCTTTACATTATCAAAGCATACATTATATTAGTCTAGTAAAACCTAGCAAATTACTTATTCAAGCAGATTTATTTCAGGCAGAATACTATGACTTGGTAAAATATTTTTGACAGGTAATGATTTATGACTATAAAATCACAACATATCAAAAATGTTATCTATTTCTTACAGCAATTTTAAATAAAATATAATTTCATATGTAAAACTTTAAAGAAAAGTAATTTTCCTCATTAGATTGACTTTGGTAAAAGGTTTTAAAATTATGAAATAAAACAAACATTTAAAGAATATTTTCAAAATGGTGAACTACTATTAAATGGTAAAAATTGTCTTCTAAGAAAGCCTATATATTTGTCAGAATCCACATTTCTATTTATAATTGGATCTTGATAAAAGCTTAAAATTGAAAGGAACAAAGCATCTTAATTTTTATAGAAATATATCTAAAATAGTTAATATAATGATAATCAGAAATAATCAATATTAAATAATAACATCAAGAATTGTTTTCCTTTGATATATTGTAAGAAATCTAAAAGAATGGTGTGGAAAAGCATGGCACATGGCAAGAACTAGAGATAATAGATTTCTGCCCTTCATCACAGCTCTCTGAAGGAAATATACCTATTATTTTGTGTATAAATAAAAAATATGTTTTTCAAAATGAATGATTTTACTGAAGTATACGTTAGATGTACAAAGTGGCATAAATATCTAACGTTGTGTTACTCATGTTCTAGAAAGAGGAAAAGGAATGCTCACCAAGATGAATAAATACCAAACCTGAAAAAGAGAGCATCATTTCCTCCAAAATAACTGACAGCTGGGCAGATTTTCTTTACCTGAGTAAATATTCATAAGGCAGATGTGTAGTACAGTGGTGTTTCCCTTATTTTCTTACCAGTACATTTAAAAAATCTTGACATTTAATTTTCTTTTAAATTACTTTAAGCATAATAGTACATTCTTTAAAAAACTGAGGATGTGAGATGTTTTAGAGTACACTGTTTAAAAAACTTATTAAATCTCATTTACATATTATTAAATCTATTATATCAGTAATATTTTAAGCTTTCTACATGTAGCTATTCTAATTAATTATGTATAGTCCACATCATCTCATATATGAATTAATACTGATGGTGAAATCTTTGATCATGTTTTCCAAAGGGCAACCTTACCTGTGGAGTCCAATAAAAAGTGGGGCTCAATCTGTAGAGTTTTCGTTTGTGGAAACTCTGAAGTGGCCTTGTTCGGGCTGCTGTACTCATGATAGTCAAGGATGGAGATTTCACTCTTGTCCTGTCTTTTCTCCTTTTCTTACTGTGCTTCTGGTTAAGTAACCAGGTACTGGAGGAAGAGAGCTCATCTAAATTCTCTGAAGCACTGAAATGCCATAAAATAATTGGGGGGTAGGAAGGGGAATAAAACAAGACAAGACAAACAAAAAAGACAAAGAAAACTAAATGTAAATTGCCTTGGTCTACTATGAAAAGACTATTAATTTTAGATAATTTTGTAGTAACAACTAATATGGAATTACATATTGAAGTGGTGAAAATAATGTCTACTTCTATTTTCTCCTACAAAACAAATACCCTGTAAGTTAGGAAAAGCTCACGAGTTTATTACTATGTCAGTGTTCATTATAAATTAGTAATTTATCTACAGTATATGACATAGAGTTTAAACTATTTACACCACTTTTTTTT